TGGGAAGGAACTGTAGTATTAAGCACAGAATCTAGATGGCATCAAAGGAGGTGGTTGGAACCCTACTGATAGCCAATACCARCTCAGTGCTATCAAACAGAGACACTGGCAGAACAATACCAGAAACCATTATTGAAGTTCTTTAAGTTTATTGTTATATTTAGATCTAGTTGTTTCATTTTCATTTCAAAATATTTCACTAACATTTCACTGTCATTCCATTTCATTCTTTATTAAATTTTCTAATTTATTTTACAATTTATCTATTGTAATTAGCTCGCGCTGTATTGCTATGTTTCCTCGCGCGCTTTACGTTTTTTTGCGTTGTTTAAAATCCTACGTGTACTCTACCTTGATAATGGCCGCTTAGGCCGAAATCTCGGTATTAAAATATCAAGTAAACGCAGAGGATCCTTTAATTTTTAGTAAGAAATAACTTGTTGTTTTTAGGTTTTCGGATAATTTTTTGATTAAATAGCTGCTTTTTCTTCCTTTTTGAAAAAAGGTGACGTAAAAACCATGTTTAAATACTGTAATGAAGAACTTTGAATAGTGAATGTTAATGAGGTCTTGTATCCACGTATCCACTTCCTGAAGAGACTTTGAATAGGATATGAATATTAATGAGTGCGCGTATCCGCGCATCCACATCCAAGATAAGAGAAACTTTGAAAGCAAAACGAAAGAAGAAGCCCAAACAACAAGGATACGGCAACAAGCCGAGAGCTACTTCAGTTGCGTAAAAAGACAAATTTAAATGTGTAAGTTTTTATAATGAGAGGAGCAAAGAAAGTTGACCAATGGGAGAAAGTTGGGCATTGTGACGAGAAATAAACAATAATCCAGTTTCGAATTCTCAAATGCTCTGTGTTAGCCTCATTTGTGCGCAAAACATCCCTAATTGTGAGAATAAAAGTGTGAGATTTCAAATCAATTCCATTGTCTTTCTTTTCAAATTCCATGCGTTTTCTCGAGCTACCAATAAAACAAAAGAATATGTTGCCTGGTTTTGAGGCTAACACAGAGCAAACCAGAACTCGAAATCGGAGTATTAAAGTAAGAGGTGCGTTATAGAAAAGAGCAAGAGAGGTGCTAAAAAGAGAAAAGAAATTAAAATTATCTGAAAACAAAGCGTTCATTCAGCCCATGGGGATTATAAGTGCCCAATTGGTGAATAAGCCGCATTTCTTTGGTTTTGCGACAATCATTATTGCCGCTAATCAAAGACAAACCAAAAACAATAAAGTTAGAAAATGAATGATTAGGCAAATTATGGGACAAATGGCGGGAAATAGGTTTATTAAGATCGTTGTGACGAATATTATAAAGCTGCTAACGAATACGATCACCAAGACGACGGCCAGTCTCATATAACAAATTACAAAGCGAACATTTAATGCAATTAAATGTACATTGGTGGTACATTCAAAGTGATCAGTGATTCTGAGTGACGAGTCAGGACCAGCAATGGAAGTGTGCGAGACAATGTACGGACAAGTGTTACAAAACGTTACGAGAGCAACGAAAAGTGCAAGGATCATTATTACAAGGAACACGTTTACGATCACGATCAATAAATATCACCCTTTACTTGTGAAGTTTATCTTTTGCATAATTATTGAATTAATTTTGCCATTATTTACTAATCACAATGACATCTTTTCAGTTTGTATAATTACTTRAATCTTTGKCTGCAAGCCGCATCCTCAATTTGATAGCAGTCACATGGCAGGCTATAAACTAGTATATAGTTCGCTTTTGATAAGATAGGTAGCTTGTTTKATAAACAATTCTCGACAGACTCGATCGATAGACAGTAAAAAAAAATTCACAATATTGAAGTTTCACGATAAATTCGTGGTATCTCTCCAAATGCCCTTTCGAAAAACGCTCGATATCTTTTAATGTGACTATACCGCGAATGGTGTTTTGGATTTGTAAGTGATTTAAGCGTACCGTATTTACTCGAATAGACACCGCCCCCGAATAGACGCCGCCCTCAAATAGACGCCGCACCTGGATCGTGAAAAATGAAATAAACGCCGCGGCGTCTATTCGAGTAAATACGGTTTTTGATGTTAAATCCATGTCTTTCARGTTGTGATATGTCATGTGATAGGTTTAACATTCGTACCCAGTGCCTTCTAGTTTGGCCGAGGACAATTTGTGACAGAAAGACGACGACGACCATGACGAACAAGACAGCCGAAATTTAAACTCGGGATTCCTTTGGAACCCCGAGTAATTATGGCCATTGATTCAAGAGACTGAGTAAGCATAACCGMCCTAAATTTAGAGACTTTTTATCAGATTTTTGTGATATTTAAATGAAATAGCTTTACATGAATTTTATATTGAGCTTGAGTTGAAATGCTTTATYTATTCATCGGCATTAATTCTATATTTTGCATTCCTTTGGTAAAAAAAGAGGGCCTGCCTTGTTAATAGTCTCGCTTTCTTAATTCAGATGTAACACGGGAAGTCCCTTAAAAAAATAAATACTTATTGATTTGTCGAGCATTCGCGGTCTCCAATTTTCAGGACACAATACCTTCTTTTTCTTTTTTTCTTTTTTCTTCTTCTTTCTTTCACCRTCGTCGTGTTTCTTCTATGAAAAATTCGTGAAATAATTCAGGTGTTATGCACTCTTATGTGTAAATATCCTGTATAAACATGTAGTGACACTATGCATGTCATTTTGAATAAAAAAATGTCTGTACCAATCAAAGACACGCTCTACTTCACGTACATCAAATCCTATCAAAACATGCATTCAGACAAGCAACATAACATCTCAAGGGATTTCTGGATAATATTACGTGAATTGTAATCACCTCAATTAACACTGAACTTTCATATTGTGCAGTATACATGCACACATAATTCTTATCAAAACATCTTGTTTATCATTAATTTCCTTCACTTTTATGAGCTATCTGTTTCGACATTGGCACAGAAATGTCTTTTATTGAAAATAAGCTGTTTACTGAAAATGACGAGAGAAAATATTTAYTACTAAAGGAAGTCTTAAATCTGTAAAATATAGATTATTTAATTAATTAATTATTAACTACTAGATACATGTAGCAAAGTTTTGTACACAGCTATTTAAAAAAAAAACTTGAATACTGTATACTGCAAAGCTCAYTCYAAAACCGCAATGCATTGTTGCCCATTCAACTTCACGTTAGCTGCATAACAATTAACAAATGACAGTTTTCAACTCAATTGCTTGCCATTGAAGTTYTTGACTGTACAGATTAGTCATTCTGACATCACGAGGGGRTACAGCAACCAACAACGCATTTCAGTCTTGCAATAYATATCTTTAGAATTCAACATTTTCTGAAATTTAGCTTTATACCGCACAGTTTTATTGCCTGTACTTGACTATAGTTGAAGCCTTTCTTACTTGTTTTTTGTGTTTCTTTGTATCATGATATTGTTCTGTCTTTGGGCCTGAAATGTACAGTTACAGCACATGTAAAAAGTTAGTTTCTTAATAATAATAATA